AATATGAAATTGTCCAGATTTGTGTTTATCTAAATGTGGGCTAACATCTGATAACTTATTTTGATCCTATTTGAAAATCTAGTGATATCCATATTGTACATCAAGAACACCTTGAGTGAATGAATTCAAAGTCTTGAAGAGAAGGTGTTTTAACTTTCAAAATTGTCAATTGTTGTATTTAGCCATGGTTCAAAGTTTGAGTTCTCTTGTATTTCAAGATATACATGTTGTCAAGTTTATTTGTGTTTCCTACTCCATATAAATGACAAAAATTTTAAACTAATGAAGTTGATATTTTTTGGTTAACTCTTGCATATCTGGCTACACATAACATTTTGTTTCGTATAAAACATGCCTACAAGAATGGTCCACATGGCGGTCTTGAACTAGCTGGAATTATTCATCTTTAACTGTATGGATGAACATATAGAGTGTAAGTTTATTTCCACCCTTGCTTAAAATTTTGAGTTAAGTGTTTTCCCTATTCAATTTAGGTTAGGAATTACAATTTTTGTTTTTAAAATTTCAAGTGTTGAATATATACATGCTTCATTATATAAACTTATTATTTGTGCAGATTCTTATTTGGATGGCCATGAATTATGCATTCTGGAATTAGTAAAAGCCTCGACCACAAGTGATCAACGAGCAAGTAAAAATGGAGTGCAAGTATAAGTATTTTGACATTCTTAATAGTAAACAGAAATGTAAAGACAAGTTATGAATAGAAAAACTGTACAAATAGAGAAACTACATATATAGAGGATTTGAATAGGCTTGTCGGAGGAGCTAGTTATTGGTTGCTTTAATTGTAACTCTTCTGATTGTTGTTTTAAATATTGTGTTTGTTGAACCAAAAATAGATTACTTTAAGAGTTTTATAAATTTTGATGTGCTATATTTTTATTATATATACAAATAATTATTACAATCAAATTAATATAATTTGGTATATTGAACCATTGCAATATGCCATTTGGCTGTTGCAATAGCCTACCAAATTGTTGCAAATGGTTCAAATAAGCATTGCAATATGCAAGTTGAACCGTTGCTATAGCTTCAAAAACCGTTCCATAAAATGTCATTACAACACATTAGAAACCGTTACATTTGGCTAAAAATCCGTTGCTATAGATTGTCCTATGGCATCGAGTTCATATCCGTTGCAATAGAGACATCTATGACAACTATTTTCCTATCATTGCACAAAACCGTTGCGATAGACCTATCGTAACGCGATCAGATGAAACGGTCCCTAAACCGTTGCCATAGGTCTGATGCAACAGTTATCTTATCTATTGCAA